CCTGTCGCAGCCTGGTCCAAGAGACAAATATAGCACAAGCACCTGATCCTGGTGACCATGAAAACAATCAAGTGCAATACCCTTGTGGGGTGAGGAGACCCCACAGCAGCCCGCCAGAAAGGGGAACTGCCTGGTAATGAGGCAGTTAGGTAAATAGAAATTAAAAGGTAAAGCAACAACACTGAAATCCCTGCAGGCTGCATGGAATCTTTTCCAAGGCACGATAATAGAGACTGAACTACAAATATACACCAGAACTTGAAAACCAGAGTAAATGGACTAAAAGGGACACCTGTGCTAAAGAACATAGTCAAAGAAGCAGTGAGAGGCAAAAGAGCATCCTTTGAAAAGTGGAAGTTAAAGCCTATGTAGAGAAATAAAAAGGAGCGCACATTCTTCAGATGGAGTGTAAAAATGTCACAAGGAAGGCCAAACAAGACCTGAAGACCAGCTAGCCAGAGACTCAAAAAGTAACAGCAATTTTTTAAAATACATCAGAAGCAGGAAACCTATTAAGCGTCTAGTAGGGACACTGGATGATCAAGATGCTGAAGGAGAACTCAAGGACACAAGAACATCATAAGAACAACCCAAGGTCCATCTAACCCAGTATTCTGTCTTGCATCAGTAGCCAATGCCAGGTGCCTCAGAGGGAATGAACAAAGCAGGGAATCGTCAAGTGATCTCATCCGTTTGCCCATTCCCAGCTTCTGACAAACAAAAGCTAAGGACCCCATGCCTGCCCATCCTGGCTAACAGCCATTAACGCACCTGTCTTCCATGAATTTATCTAGTTCTTTTTTGAACCTGGTTAAAGTATTTACAACATCCTCTGGCAAGGAGTTCCACAGGTTGACTGTGCACTGGGTGAAGAAAAACTTTCTTCTGTTTGTTTTAAACCTGCTACCTATTAATTTCATTTGGTTATTATGTTATGAGAACAAGTAAATAACTTTTCCTTATTTGTTTCTCTACACCAGTGGTGACTTTATAGACCTCTAGCCGATCCCCCCTTAGTCTCCTCCTTTCTAAACTGCAAAGTCTCAGTCTAATATTTAATCTCTCTTCATATGGGAGGATAAGGGGACTGTGGAGAAACTAAAGGAATTCTTTGCATCAGTCTTCACGGCTGAGGACGTCAGGGCGATTCCCGAACCTGAGCCATTCTTTATAGCGGACAAATCTGTGGATGTCTCAAATTATCAGGGTTTAAAAAAAGAGCTGGATAGATTCATGGAGGTTGGGTCTATCCACGGCTATTAGCCAGGGTGGGTAGGAATGGTGTCCCTAGCCTCTGTTTGGGTGATGGGGGAGGGATCACGTGAGGATTCCCTGTTCTGTTCCCTTCCTCCGGGGCACCTGGCATTGGCCACTGTGGGCAGACAGGGCTATTGGTCTGACCCAGTACAGCCGTCCTTATGTTCTTATGTAAATTGAGGTGCCATTGAGGAGTGTTTGGAAGAAACAGTAATAAGTCACCAGGACCAGACGGGTATGTACATAAGAGTTCTGAAAGAACCGAAACGTAAAACTGCAGAACTACTAACTGTAGTATGCAACCTACTGTTTAAGTCAGCTTCGTAGCCAAACAACTGGAGGGTTGCTAATGGGATGACAATTTTTAAAAGGGCTCCAGAGGTTATCTTGGCAATGACATGCCAGGAAGCCTTACTGTGAGACACACGGATAAACATGATTTTTGGGGAAGACACACAATGTTTTTTGGTGAAGCATGATTTACAGTCTACTAGAGTTCTTTCAGGAGGGTCAACAAGCATGTGGACATGGGGGATCCAATGGACATAGAGCATTTAGATTTTCATAAAGCTTTTGGCAAGGTCCCTCGCCAAAGACTCCTAAGCAAAGTAAGTTGTTATGGGACAAGAGGGAATGAAAACTGGTGAAAAGATAAGAAAGAAGGTGTAAACGGTCAGTTGACAGACCAGAAATAAGTAAGTGTTGTCCCCCAGGGGTCTGCACTAGGTCAATCCTATTCAACATATTCATAAAGGATCTGGAAAAGGAGGTGACCAGTGAAGTGGCAAAATCTGCAGATGTTGCACAACTATCCAAGATAGTTAAGTCCCAGGCAAGAGCTAAAAAAGAATTTCAAAAAATGGGTGACTGGGCAACCAAATGGCAGATGAAATTCAACGTTGATAAATACAAACTAAGGAAAACATCATCCCACCTATGTATACAAAACTAGAAGACTCATGCAGCATGCTTGGGTCCTTCAGGGCAGGGACTTGCAATGCGAGGAGGTGCAGGAGTCGGGACAGAATAGTCTGGTCTCCCACAATATTCTTGCCAACAAGTTGAAGAAGTATGGATTGGATAAATGGACTGTAAGGTGGATAGAAAGCCGGCTAGATTATCGGGCCCAACGGCTCGTGATCAATGGTTCGACTTCTGGTTGGTTTCAAGTGGAGTGCTCCAAGGGTTGGCTCTAGGGCTGGTTTTGTTCAACATCTTCATTAATGACCTGGATGAGAGGATGGATTGCACCCTCAGCCAGTTTGCAGATGACACTAAGCTAGGCGGAGAGGTAGCTATGCTGAAGGGCAGCGACAGGGTCCAGAGTGACCTGGACAGATTAGAGGATTGGGCCAAAAGAAATCCGATGAGGTTCAACAAGGACAAGTGCAGAGTCCTACACTTGGGACGGAAGAATCCCAAGCATTGTTACAGGCTGGGGACCAACTGGATAAGTAGCAGTTCTGCAGAAAAGGCCCTGGGGATTACAGTGGATGAGAAGCTGGACATGAGTCAACAGTGTGCCCTTGTAGCCAAGAAAGCTAATGGCATATTAGGGGGCATTAGAAGGAACATTGCCAGCAG